TATGCATAGATTAATAAGACTAATAATGGAAGCAACTCTCATCCTTATTCCTTGTGTTATCTCTGGATGTTCTTCCAGTGTTAGTATCAGAGCTTGAATAGCTCTTTGCACAGGAATGTTTGTGTACATGGAAACAACATCAAAGCTTACTAGCTTATCGTCCTCTGAAATTGACTGCTGATCTAGCAATGTCACAAAATCATACGAATTTTTAACTGAATATAGACAATAATTGGCAGAGTTGCTTAATTGTATGCATAAAAACCATGAGATTTTATTCATCACGCTTCCTTTATTATTTACAATTAATCTTAAAGGGTCACCCTCTTTGTAAACCTTAGGGAGACCATAAGCAGTGGGGGCCCTTGCATCTCTCTGGAGTAGTTAATTCATTCAATGCAAATGCATGTTATGGGAATATTCAACTATCAGAGTTTAAGTCACAGAGCATATGTAAATTTCAAGAAAGGCCAGTTTTTTTCATATAACATTTTTTTGTGGGGATTTTCGATGAAGCAAACGTATTTTTGTTATAACAATCGACTGCATTACTTATTTTTCGTATATAGGCAGAGTTTTTAGACTACCAATAAATCACTTATATGAGATATATTCACCCCATTTCGTTCAAGGTGATGAAAGACTGGTAGTATAAACTCTGCTTATGTACAAAACATAAGTAATGTAGTCGATTGTTAAGGCAAAACACGTTTGCTTCATTGACAATCCCACCAGAGGACGTGATATGAGGAAAAGGCCTAACCTTCCTTGAAATTGACATCCGCCCTGTGACCCAAGGGCATCCGTGGCAATGCGTCTGAGTTGTTTACGTGTTAAACTCACATGTTACACTGTCACTCATATCATTTTGGGAAATATATATCATAGAAATGATTTACTGGTAGTCTTGAAACTCTTTTTATATACGAAAAATTAAAATGACGATGTCCAAATATCATAAGAGTATCCTCAAACATTTTGCTCCATTTTCAAACTCTAGAAGAATTAACGTAAATAATAAGAAGCCAAGGCTTACATCTGACACCGGCGGGTCCACGTGGCCAGTAAGCAAAACACAGGGCTGGAGGAAGAACTCCGTAGTCTGCCCGAAGAACTCAACTAACTTGGTTAGAATCTGGTGGGAACAATTTGGTGTGCTAAAATTTAGCTCAGCAAGAAGAGATTGTAGTATATCCGAATCCTCACTGACGCTAAGTAAAGATGGGGTTTGAGTAAACTTTTTCGGAGTGGGGATATCAAGCTGACGACTGGATGGCTGGACCTGAACTAACAGGTTTCCTGCATCACCTTGTCCCTGCAATCTGAAGTAAATGTCACCACTAGTATTCAATACAGGTATTTTATAACCACTGCTGACGAGGCTGACGTCAAGACGAGTATTAGCTTGAGCCCAGTATATCGCCTCACCAGAACCTGATTTCCAACTATAAGCAAAAAGAAAACTTTGTAATAAGTAAATGCAAATTAATAAGAAAAAATTACATAAGAGCGTGGACATCTAGTAAGGATTTAATAGTCTCATTAAGAATTTATTTCATTGTATTTAACAAGCATAGGCAAGCAGAACTCACGACAAAATCATTTCGATATTGCAAAAAGGATGGCAAGAAGGGATAGAGGAAATCTTAGCTAAAAATCCCAGTATATACGGATAGTAAGAGTACTACATGTACCACGTCTCTTATACAACAGACCTACCGTCAGCCAACTAGCTCCGGACCCTGCCGTTTCTATCATGTTTCTATCCTTAATACCAAGTCTATTATTTGTCATGCCCTACTCGCTTGTGTGTCAACCCACAAACGTTGTGGTACAGCTTGTTTTTATTTGGTTCAATGTTGAACCACAGCATTTGTGGGTTGTCACACAAGGTCACACTAGGTCATAGGAAGTAATAGGCTTGGTATTATAGAGAGAAAGAGGATAGAAACAGTGGGAGCTAGAGCTGGTCGGCTAACAATAGTCGTGATTCAAGGATCACGTTTAGGATCAAAAACGTCTATTTTAGCCAAACAGCTTTAGTCTCCACCGCGTCCTATTTCTATCTGTAATACTATAAATATCACTTCTTATGTCCTAGTCGATTGTGTGCCAACCCACAAATATCGTGGTTCTACTTGTTTTGATAAGGCTCGTTGAAGACGTATCCCCTTTGCTTCTTCCTTTCTAATTCCCTTGCGATGTCTTTTCATAAAATTAAGGATATTACCTTGTTCCAGTTGTCTTCTTTTTGCTGATCCTCCTGTCGAATGATCTTCTTCTAGTTTGTTAGGCAATATGCAAAGTTTTCGCTAATCCTGC